AATGTTTGAGCTTCATGACTTGACACCAATTCACATTTTAGGTCTTGCATGCACAGAGAAGTGTGAGGAGGAATATTGCTTTATAGACTTTTAATTCAAATGGTAGATTACTTCTGTTTATTTGCAGACTGCTGTCCAAAGTCTGCCAAGGCTACATTTGATATGGCAATTCCTGCATGTTCTCATCATCAATATAGACAGTTGGAGATAGTGTACTACTGAGGTAAGTGAACTTATCCACTGCTGAGAGGTTCTGGTGTAAAGTGTCTTTTTATTTTCATGCATTTTTGAATATGGAATGAAATGGGAAAAGGCCTATTTTAAAAACCAAGGATTATGGAAGCTATGTTGTTACAAGAAAACCATCAGCACCTACTTCAAGTGCTGTTTACACAGTTGTTTGTTCAACCAGTTGGAGATGTTTAGTTGCAGATAAACTGCCACCAAAGAGTGTGTACTAAAAGCAACAAGTAGCTAATTAGTCTGTGAGTGATAACCACTTGTTGGTGACGAAGGCTTTCTGCCTGCCTACAACCATGTTGTTTCCTCCTGGATAGTTACACAGTTTGTGTGTGTGAAAAAATTGGTCAGAAATCTTCGGACTTCCTGAAAGAAAGGCGTTATCTTTGTTGCCGCAGTAAAATAATCACCTAATGCCTGCAGAAGGCCACTTTATTTTTGGTCATCAGTCACTGAACGTTATTGCTTTTCACCAATAAGTCAGAGACTTTATAAGTCCTCAACCAGTTGCTCTATGCCTCCTGCTAGCAGGTGAAAGTACCTGGAGAAGAGAGATATCAACAAACAGCAAGTACTGGCATGCCAAAAGGATCATCTTAGAAAATCTTATGGACAGGGACCATTGAACTGCCTTTTTAAATTTTCCCTCTGCACATGCCATGGTTAACAGCACATCTAGTCTTGGGCTTGGGATAAGAATTTCCTGGAGCAACCTGCTACGTTATTTGAGTTTTTGTCCTGCTGATCAATAAGCTGAAGCTGTCACATATATTGGAGAACAAGTCAGTGCTGCATTGGATATCAGTTTCTGAACTGGAAGCTGGTACACAGTCAACAATAAACAGGAAATCAGAATATATGTCCTTGAAGACTTTGGTCTTTGCCTGCAGTCGTCTCAAATTGATCAGTTTTCTGTCCATGTGATGCCTGATTTTGATACCAGTATCATCACTATGGAAGGCATCAAAAAAAAAAACATGCTGAAGAGGATTGGTGCTATCAGCAAAAGTATATTCCAATGAAAAGGAAGGACTGTAAGAAAAGGGGTAATCTGCCATGGGTGTCTAAAGAAATAAGGGAGGCTATCAAATTGAAAGAGAAGGCATACAAAGTGGCCAAAAACAGCATGAAACTAGAAGATTGGGAAAACTTTAAAGGTCAACAGAAAGCCACAAAAAGAGCTATAAAGAAAAGTAAGATCGAACATGAGAAAAAACTAGCACAGAATATAAAGACAGATAGCAAAAGTTTCTGTAAATATATAAAACGAAAGAGAGTGGCTAAAGTAAACGTTGGCCCTTTAGAGGATGAGAACGGGAATTTAGTTATGGGATATGATGAAATGGCCGAGGCATTGAACAGGTATTTTGTATCGGTCTTCACAGTGGAGGACACTAATAACATGCCAGTAATTGACAAAGAGATGAAGATAGGTGAGGACCTGGAAACAATCATAATTACGGAAGAGGTAGTGTTGGGCAAGCTAATGGAGCTAAGGATTGATAAGTCTCCTGGCCCTGATGGAATGTATCCCAGGGTACTAAAAGAGATGGCGGGAGAAATAGCAGGTGCACTGGCGGTAATTTTCCAAAATTCGCTGGACTCTGGGGCAGTCCCAGCAGATTGGAAAACAGCAAATGTGACGCCACTATTTAAAAAGGGAAGTAGACAAAAGATGGGGAATTATAGACTGGTTAGCTTAACCTCTGTAGTGGGGAAGATGCTTGAGTCTATTATCAAGGAAGAAATAGCAAGGCATCTTGATAGAAATTGTCCCACTGAGGAGACGCAGCATGGGTTCATGAAGGGCAGGTCATGCTTGACAAATCTTTTGGAATTCTATGAAGAGATTACGAGCAAGGTGGACAATGGGGACCCAGTGGATGTGGTGTACCTAGATTTCCAAAAGGCCTTCGACAAGGTGCCGCACAAGAGGCTACGGCATAAGATAAGGATGCATGGCATTAACGGTAAAGTATTAGCATGGATAGAGGATTGGTTGACTAACAGGAAGCAAAGAGTGGGGATAAATGAGTGCTATTCTACCTGGCATTCAGTGACTAGTGGTGTGCCTCAGGGATCGGTGTTGGGACCGCAATTATTTACAATTTATGTAGATGATTTAGAGTTGGGGACCACGTGTAGGGTGTCAAAGTTTGCAGATGACACTAAGATGAGTGGCAGAGCAAAGTGTGCAGAGGACTGTGAAACTTTGCAGAGGAACATAGATACATTGAGTGAGTGGGCAAAGGTCTAGCAGATGGAATACAATGTAAATAAATGTGAAGTCATACATTTTGGTAGGAGTAATAGTAAAAAGGATTATTACTTGAATGGTAAAAAGTTGCAGCATGCTGTTATGCAGAGGGACCTGGGTGTCCTTGTGCATGAATCACCAGAAGGTAGGTTTGCAGGTACAACAAGTAATTAGGAAGTCAAATGGAATTTTGTCCTTCATTGCTAAAGGGATTGAGATTAAAAGCAGAGAGGTTATTTTGCAGCTGTACAAGGTGCTGGTGAGGCCACACCTGGAGTGCAGTTTTGGTCTCCTTACTTGAGAAAGGATGTACTGGCACTGGAGGGGGTGCAAAGGAGGTTCACTAGGTTGATTCCAGAGTTGAGGGAGTTGGCTTATGAGGAGAGACTGAGTAGATTGGGATTATATTCATTGGAATTCAGAAGATTGAGGGGGGTTCTTATAGGAACATATAAAATTATGAAGGGAATAGATAAGATAGAAGTAGAGAGGATGTTTCCACTGGCACGTGAAGCTAGGACAAGAGGGCATAGCCTCAAGATTAGAGGGAGCAGATTTAGGACTGAATTGAGAAGGAACTTCTTCACCCAGAGGGTTGTTAATCTATGGAATTCCTTGCCCAGTGGAGTAGTTGACGCTACTTCAGTAAACGTTTTTAAAGATAAGGTAGATTTTTTTTTGAACAATAAAGGAATTAAGGGATACAGTGAGAACGCGGGTAAGTGGATCTGAGTCCACGAAAAGATCAGCCATGATCTTATTGAATGGCGGAGCAGGCTCGAAGGGCCGGATGGCCTACTCCTGCTCGTAGCTCTTATGTTCTTATGTGACCCTGTTCTATTCCATTACTAACTGGGATTGACTTAGCCATTCTTTCTCCTACTTTCTGTTACCTTTATGCAGTTTCTAATTTTCATTCGAATGAAATGTTAAATTCTAGTCTAACTCTTAAATATATGTTTACTTTTTAAATTAATTTTGTTCTATCTCAGCCCCCACCATAAATGGGAATATTAAAAACTTCATTTTAAATAAAGTAATTTCTATTGGTTACCAAGTCAAAATTTTATATGAAAATTGTGTCAAAACCATGAAGTACTTGATGCTGATGAATAAAATGTAGTTTTTCAGAATATGAGGACTCCTCTTACCAAATAAATCTAAGGTAGATTGATATATTTTTGTTAAGTAAAGGTATTAAGGGATATGGTCAAAGGTGGGTATACAAAGTTAGGCCACATGTCAGTCATGATCTCAGTGAATGGCATAACAGATTTGAAGGGTCAAATGGCCTATTCCTGTTCCTATGTTTCTATAACTGTGCTGTTAACCATGACATTTGTATAGCATTCAACGAAGGGAAGAAAGGCAAGGCAGTAAAGTTTAAGGTAGTGGGACAACAGAGATTGGAACATGAAGATATACAGGAATGACTGAAGTAAAAAAGATAAGAGGTATAAGGTTTGAGGAGATTGGAGGTATAATGGTGCTAGGATATGTAGGGATTTATAGATGATGAGGATATTAAGATTTAATGAATGGATGATTTGAAACCTATGTAAATCAATAAAAATGTGAGTATTCGGTGAACAAGATTTTGTGCAAGCCAAGATGTCAGGATGGAGTTTTGGATTCTGAAAACTTGATGTTGCATTTGATCTTAAGAATAACTTCAACTTCATTTGTGCCATTATTACGACTGCCTATTTCCACCTCTAAGTGCAAATTGATTTCACTCCTGTCTTTGCCCATCTGCTGCAAGAATGTTCATTATAGCTGGTCTTGACTATTCCAATGCAGTCCTGGCTAGTCTCTCACATTCTCCCTTGTATAAAACTGAAATCATCCAAAACATTGCCGTGTCTTAATTTGCTGCATGTCCCATTTCCCTATCGCCCCTGTGAGAGATGTCCTTCAGAGTTTCCCAAACAAGCATCATCTTATTTATAATATTCAAAGCTCACCCTTTTGTTTCATTGTACTCCTTGGTGTTTCAATAAGTTAAGTGTGCTCTATAAACATTTTGGAATTTATGGAGGGTGGCGATCAGAAGGGTAACAATGAGAGCTTCAGAGAAAAAGAGCATGGTGGCAAAATATTGTCAAAGGCTTCAATACAGTAAGAAGCCTACACTGCAACTTGAGAGGAAATTGAGGTTTTTATGTCAGTGAAAATATAGCTTGGACTTTCTGATTTTGGTTGATGAAATGCTGACTCCCGAGTTGTTGCAGCTTGACTGAAATGTTGAAAAGTGTTGGAGAAAACATCCAGTGTCTTTTTAGGATGGAGTCAATAGCTGGCTCAATTATTTAATTCTTCAGAAAATGGTAGCAAGAATAATTTTAGCAGACCCTGTATGTATAAAAAATCAAAGCAGTGAATGCTTTGTAGCTTCCAGATATGGGAGAAATTAGTAAGTAATGGTCTTTATTTATTACTGAGTAATTGAAAATACATTATTGCTAAATAAACAATTTAATATTAATTTTGTTTTTGCATGTAGGTACGTGTGTCGAAAGAAAATGATTCATCTTGGAAGCCTACTTTTATTGTAAAGCCAGATGGAGGATCCCAAGGTGATGGAATCTACCTCATTAAAGATTCTAATGATGTCCGAATGTTGGCCAACCTTCGCAGCAAGCCAGCAGTGGTCCAGGAATATATCAGCAAGCCATTACTGATTGACAAATTGAAATTTGACATTCGATTGTATGTCTTGCTCAAATCACTAGATCCGTTGGAGATCTACATAGCCAAAGATGGTCTGTCTAGATTCTGTACAGAACCATATCAAGAGCCTAACAGTAAAAATTTTCATCGTGTATTTATGCACTTAACAAACTACTCTCTGAATGTCCATAGTGGAAATTTCATTCATTCTGACAATGTAAACACAGGAAGCAAAAGGACATTTTCAAGTATTGTCACCAAGCTTTCTATGCGAGGCTATGATGTGAAGAAAATGTGGTCAGATATTATCACGTTAGTAATTAGGGCTATTATTGCGTTGGTTCCTGAATTAAAAATTTATCATCAAACGTATATTCCTCCAGGAAAGCCTGGACCGACATGCTTTCAGGTCAGTATGTTGTGTTGTTGTACTGTTCTTTGTAATGCTGCAGCATTCAGGTCTGTGAATCTCAGTGTTATAAGTTTTATGCTTAAGCTATTGACTTTCTTTGCATTGCTTAGTCATTCAAGTTTTACAAAACTGTTCCCAGCATTCACTGACCTCTTCAGGCTTTCTGATTTCAAGGCAACAACTGTAGTTGTTTATAAAGCTCCTTTTGAAGTAGACTGCTAGGAGGTGTCAAACATCAGCCAAGGATTTACTGTTTTCTCTGAGGAAACAACCCAAGCCTACTTGGTATTTCCCACAGCATTACTTAGTTATGAAACTATACTCTTGTCCTGCAGCCAAGTGCTAAATGTGTATGTGCTAGAGTTATTTAATACTGACTGTGATATTATGATTTTAAGGTGGACTTGTAAGTCTCAGGTCATTTACAGAGCCAATCTAAAGTTTACTAGTCATGATTAGTTACAAGACCCATTCCAGGTATAAGTATGTTTTCAAACATACTAAGTTTATCATGACAAGTGCAAAAAAATACTTAGTGGTTTTTGGCTTATCCACATTGGGATGCCAGTTTGCAAGACTGGCTGACTGGGCACAGGTTTCCTGTTCTGTTCTGTTGACTGACTTCTCCTTTTGTCTTCAGTCTTCCTTCTTGTGCATTGAGTGATTAAAGCCCAGTCCTTATTAACCTTTACTAGTCACTACTCCTTATGAAAGATCAAAGGCATCTTGAACTGTGATTTGGTTTTTTAGTGCACTAACAGTGTATGAACAGTTCATGGTCAGTTTTGGATTGGCAAAATAATTTATGCCTACAATTTCTGATTTGGTTCTTTAAAAGTAATTGTTACCTTAGTGACATCACTTCTCACTGTCACCTCATTCATTCTTAAACATGCCAATAATTTTATAAGATCACCCCTTTTTGTACCAGCTTGTCCCTTTTAGTTACCAATTTTATAGGTCTTTACAAAGATAAGATGGCAAGTGTGAACAATTAATGCATCTGTTTATAGTCATTGAGTCATACAGTATGGAAACAGACCCTTCGGTCCCATTCATCCATGCCAACCAAGTTTCCCAAACTAAATTAGTCCCACTTGCCTGCGTTTCACCCATATCCCTCTAAACCTTTCCTATTCATGGACCTATCAAAATGTCTTTTAAATGTTGTAACTGTACTTGCATCTACCACTTCTTCTTGCAGTTCATTCCACATATGAACCGCCTCCTTGCGGAAAAAGTTGCCCTTCACATCCATTTTAATTTTCTCCTCTCGCCTTAAAAATATGCCTCTAGTTTTGAAATTCCCCACCCTAGGGAAAAGACTTTTGCTATTCATCTTATATATGCCCCTCATGACCTTATAAATCTCTATAAGGTCACCCCTTAACCTCCTTTGCTTCAATGAAAATAGTCTCAGCCTATCCAATCTCTCCCTATAACTCAAACCATCCACTCCTGATAACATCCTGGTAAATCTTTTCTGAACCCTCTCCAGTCTAATAATATCCTTCCTATAGCAGGGGGATCTGAACTGTACACAGTACTCCAAAAGTGGCCTCACCAACATCCTGTACAACCACAACATTCCAACTGCTATACCCAGTGGTCTGAGTTATAAAGGCAAGCATGCTAAACGCTTTCTTAACCACCCTGACAGCATTACCCAGGGCCCTACCATTAACTGTCTAAGTCCTACCCTTATTTGTCTTACCAAAATGCAATACCAGGCATTTAACCAAATTAAACTCCGTCTACAGTGCCTCAGCCCATAGGCCCAATTGATCAAGATCCCTTTCTAATCTTAGATAACCTCCTTCACTGTTGACTATACCACCAATTTTGGTATCATCCACAAACTTGCTAACCATGCCTCCTAAATTGTCATTTTTATAAATGACAAACAAAAATGGACTCAGTACTGACCCCAGTGGAACACCACTGGTCACAACCTTCACAAAAAACAACCCTCCACCTCCACGCTCTGTCTCCTACTGTCGAGCTAATTTTGTATCCAATTGGCAAGCTCGCCCTGAATTCCATATGATCTAGCTTTACTGATTAGTTTACCAAGCGGAACCTTGTCAATGTCTATCGTTCTGCGCTTATTAATCTTCTTGGTTATGTCTTCAAAAAACTCGACCAAGTTTGTGAGATGCACTTTCCTAAGCACAAAGCCGTGCTGACAATACCTAATCAGTCATTGTCTCTCCAAATGCATGTAAACACTATTTCTGATACTCCCCTCCAACTTACTCACCAGTCTATAGTTCCCCGGCTTCTCCTTACAGCTTAAAAAAAGGAACAACATTAGCTACCCTTCAGTCCTTCTGCACCTCATCCATGGCTGTAGATGATGCAAATATCTCTACTAGGGGCCCCACAATCTCTTCCCTGACTTCCCACAACATACTGGGATACATTTAATCAGGTCCCAGAGATTTATTCACTTTTATGTTTTTGAAGACTTCCAGTGCCTCCTGTTCTTTTTAGAGTAAGTAGTGTCACCTTCTAGTGATTAACTATCATCTCAAATGTTCCATTTGGTACATAGAATGTTTTTCCAAAATCTATCAACATCCTTTAACTGAACTATGTGACTAATCAATAGCTATTCATACCAAAAACAAATTGTAGTTGAAAATAGTCATATAAACTAATGCACGTAGGCCTATTAATACACTGTAAGCTACCATTTTTAAAAATTAGCTGTGTCATTGACACATATGTATTTTACCAGAAAGCATTTCAGATGTCAGCCTAAACTTAGAGCAACTTGATTCATAAAACCCATAGCCCTTGCTTTTTAACCTAGCCACATGGCACCTTCCCTACAGAAAATGTTCCACAGTAACAACCATTAAGCAAAATATAATTTAATTCCTTCCTTGCTTAATCAAGTCAAAATTACTAATTATTGAAAAAAAGTTTATCCCACAATTTAATAAGTAAAATGGCAAGGATGAATTTTAATTTAATATTTAACAAGTTAACTGGGAAATTCTAGGATACCCCACAGAAGTTTGTTGTACCTTTACAAAGGATGTTGCTCTCTATCGTAGTGCAGTTTTTTTCCATGGGAATAATGAAACTGATGAGAAATGTAACTGATGGTTACAGGAAGAAAATGGGCACGACTAAAAAGCCATAAGAATCTACCCCACAAGTCCTGTCTGAAAACTTAAAATGAATGTTAAAGCTGCCAATGGCTAGTCTTCTAGTTGCCAAAAATATGCAACCACTGCAGGAAGATGTATTAAAATAAATGATGTGACAGCTTCCAAGCCACATGCTTATATATTTGTATCCTAATATTGCCAGCCTGTCAACTCTATATGCCGCTGTTTAGAGCGATTTAGTGGCAAAAGGGATCAGTATGGTATGAAATAATGCCACTTCTCAGGGAGAGAAAATAAAGGTCTGATTTCATTGCACAGTTAGCTTCTTGAGGTTGCTTATTAAATAGCACTTAATGAGGGATTTGGTGAAGTTCATGACCCTAAAGAAAAGTTTAACGAGTATAATACTTATATTAAGTAAATAAACTCTCACACAAACCACTCTTAACCCAATTGTTTATTGGTTGCTATATACCAATGTTAGAGGGAATTCTACCCTTTATTTCCTCTTAGATCAGACAAGACTCAGGTTTTTTTTTAATAAGTTTATCATTCATTCATGCATAGGTGTCATACACAACAAGAAAATACCGCATAATTAAAATCTTCTTAAGAAGAATAGAGCTTTTATACCAATTTTACAGATTACAAGCTTCCAAACAACTACTCCTAAAAGTACTGCTATCCAATCAGAGTTACACTTTGTTCACACCTATCTTTACACAATTGTGTTCACATAGTTCAGATTCCAAATTAGTACACATAACTATTATCCAATCATATTAAACATGATTATATTACCCAAACATGTTCACTTCTCAAACTATTAACACATACTTGTTACAGGAAACATACCCTACTTAGTAATCTTAGGATTACTACCCGTATCACAGGCTAGTGAGGCTAGGAACAGACAGCGAGTACAGTTGGACACATGGCTACAGAGCTGGTGTAGGAGGGAGGGCTTTAGATATATGAATCATTGGGATGTCTTCTGGGCAACGTGGGACCTGTACAAGAAGGATGGGTTGCATCTGAACTGGAGGGGCACCAATATCCTGGGTGGGAGATTTGCTAAGCTCTTCAGGAGGGTTTAAACTAGTGTGGCAGCGTGCTGGGAACCAGTACAACAGGCCAGTAAGTGCAGAGACTTGAGACAAAGGAAAGACTGAGATATGCATAGCACAGGGTAAGAGCAGGCAGAGGGAGGTTGCGGGGTTCAGAGGGACTGGACGTCTGGAGTGGCATTTACTTCAATGCAAGAAGTATAACCAGTAAGACAGATGATCTAAGAGCATGCATAACTGCATGGAATTATAATGTTATTGCCATTACGGAGACATGGTTAGAGGAGGGGCAGGACTGGTAGCTTAACATTCCAGGATATCACTGTTTTAAACGGGAGAGAAAGGGAAACAAAAGGGATGGGGGAGTTGCATTGCTGATTAGGGATCACATCACAGCTGTGTTGAAGGACGATACATTGGAGAAATCTTGCAGTGAAGCATTATGGGTGGAGCTCAGGAATAGGATGGGTGAAATCATAATGCTAGGAGATTTCTATAGACCTCCCAATAGCCAGCCCATGTGAGACAGAGGAGCAGATATGTAGACACATACTAGAAAGGTGTGGAAAAAAGCGGGGTAGTTGCGGTGGGTGACTTCAACTTTCCCCTTATTGACTGGGGCTCCCTTAGAGCCAGGGGCTCAGAAGAAGAGCAATTTGTTAGATGAGTCAAGGAGGACTTTTTGAGACAGTATGTTGACAATCCAACAAGAGAGGAGGCTATACTAGACTTGGTATTAGGGAATGAGCCAGAACTGGTGATCAGTGTTTCAGTAGGAGAGCATTTTGGGCTGAGTGACCATAACTCCATA